CTTATAAAAAAAATCTTGGCTACGCCACTGTAACATATATAGTGAACATATGAATAGTTAAAATAGGTACCCTAATAGTATTTTATAACTACCATATGAATTGACTAAAATGTACCCTGATGCGCTATTATTTTAAAATGATGCGTTTATTAATTTGTTTATCAGTTAATTTTTTTATAAGCATGTTCAAAGATACTGTATTCAAACAAAATATTAAAGGATTATTGTAGTGCTGTTATGTGTTTAAAGTTTAAATATTTGTATAGATATTTCATAATCATAATAATTTTTTTGACGATGAATACTTAAAGTGTTATTGTCAATAAAATAAATACTTGGTAATCCTAATTTGAAAAAAGTTTAATTTTCATTTGTATTATTTGCATTTTAGTAATATTTTTTAATTTAAATAAGTACTAATTATGCTGTTATACTTCTTTCTGATAGTTCTTAAAATGTTTTATTTTATTTTTGTTTATTATTTACCCATTCCTAGTTGATTAAGTACCTTGGCAATGATAATAAATGATTTTGCAAATTATATACATATTGTTAATGATATTTTCTAAAAATAAACAGCAAGGACTTTCAAGAGTATTATTATAAATTATTTTTGGTTTTAATATTGTCTGTTTGTTATAAGTGATACCTAACCAAAACATACATTGAGAAATGTATTGTAATAGTGGGTTAAATAATTTGAATATGCTCTAATATTTTTTAGACATCTGTAAAGTATAAAATATAAGTACACTAAATAATAATAATATGAATAATTCATATTATATGAAATCTGAATTTGTTCTATGTTTTTCTATAACAAATTAGACTTCAGAATGACATAATATTGTTGATGATAAAATTATAGTTGTGTTGGAATTATTTTTCATCTCATATTTTTAGTTTTGGTTCTAGTTAGGTACTTAATTAATATTTTTATAATTCAGCATTTATTATAAAATTAATAATTATGACTTATATATATATATATATATATGCACTACCTATCTTATAATTTAATATGTTTTATTTGGTTTTAGGTACAAATATAGTGTTCTTGTTTTGACATTCATCACATATGCTGCTTACCATGCATCTCGAAAACCCATAAGTGTTGTTAAAATTGTCTTATATCAAAACTGTTCTGAAGCTACTACTCCTGCTCCTATTAATAACACAGATCCTGATTGGTGTAACTGGGCACCATTTAGTAAGTTATATGATTGTTAATTAAATTGATGGTTTTTAATCTGGAATTATAATACTCAATTATCATATTTTGAATTATATTCAGTATAAATTAGATTTATAAAAATACATGTATGTGATTTGTACTCACTGTTGTTTTATTCACCCATTTCAATATTTACAGATGCTAAAAACCACAGTGCTTTGTTTGGAACATTGGATTCTGCATTCCTTTTTGCCTATGCAATAGCAATGTTTTTTAGGTAAATATAAAATATTAATATTAATATAACATATATACCAATGTATCAACAATTAAATTGATATTGTAAATAGTGTAAACATTTGCTACAATTAACTTAATCAATTTTTATAGTGTTAACTGAATATAGAAAAAAAGTTTCTATTATTATTATTATTATTATTATTATTATCATCTGTTATTTATTTAAAAAAACTAATAACCTATAGTTAAAAACTAATATACTTATCTGAAATAGATGATCTTTTATTTTATAGTTTCATTATTCTTTAGTGTAAAATAATATTTTAATGGCTTTTTAATGATGTACATTGTACGTATCTAATTACAATAATAATTTTATTTTAGTGGTATAATTGCGGAACGTGTCAACATACGAATTTTCCTAACAATTGGAATGCTTTTATCTGGTACAGCTTGCTCAATGTTTGGATTAGCTCATTATTACAATATACATTCCATGTGGTATTTTATTGGAGTTCAGGTATTTTATTGAAATAATTGTGGTTTTTTAGAAATAAATTATTCGTAATATAATATATTATAATDTGTCAAATTTTTAGATATTTGGTGGTATTTGTCAAACTACTGGATGGCCGGGTGTTGTAACTGCAATGGGCAATTGGTTTGGCAAAGGAAACCGAGGTTAAAATTAGCACGTTTTACTATAAATATTATTGTTATTAAATTAACTATTATTTATTTGTCAATGGCATTTTAGGTTTTATATTTGGTATTTGGAACTCTCACACATCAATTGGAAATATCATTGGTACTTTACTTGCCAGTTTGTATGTTGAATCAAACTGGGGATTATCATTTATTGTTCCTGGAATTTTCATAATTGCTTCTGGAATTCTAAATTATTTGTTTCTTGTGGTCCATCCATCTGATATAAATAGTGATTCTCACTTGAATGAAAAAGTCCAGAATGGTTGCAAGGTAAGATGTTTGTTTTATAGTAGCCAATTTGATCATTTATACAATTTTTATAATATCATAAAGTAATATATTGTAACATTAAATTAATTTTATGACATGAAATCTATTGAAATTTCTGTACCAATGAGTTTAAAATGTACTTWACAGTAATATTACTCGACTTAAACTACAAATACTTGTTCCCTGTAAAATGTATATAAAAGTTTATTAATATTTATTAAATTACAATTAATAACTTACTAAAGTAGTAATATAATTTTTATTTTTATTGTAATTTGGTCATTAAGAAATTTGTTAGCTTAGGCTTAAGTAATTTTGTTTTGCTTATGTACGAGTTTAAAAAACCTAAATATCTAAATTCCTCTGTTTATATTTGTTTATATGTGTTAATAACTAAAAAACAACTATTTAAATCCTATTAAAGTGTAAAATGTTTTTGTGCTTTGTAGAATTACAATTAAGTGTGAAAATTGGGTAGCTCTTTTAAAATAGTTATTTAAATTACTATTTATTGAGGTTGTTATAATAATTTCTTAACTTGATAATACTAAAAAAATACATCTTTTACGTAAACTTTATGTATAGAATAATATTATTAACTCTCTATATTAAACATTAATAATTATTTGCCCATTAATACTAACTCAAAATAATAATCCTGTGAGAAAATAATGGATTAAATACTTTTTGTGATCCATGCATTCAAAGAGTAGTTATTAGGGTTCAGATTTGAAGGAAAAGCCTTTTTTTAATAATAATAATATAAAAATAATTTTTATATAAAAATGATCATTTAACATTTAAGATGATGGATGTTTTTTTCCTTTTTTAAATATAAAGTTATAAATGTCTTTTTTGTGTTTAATTTCCAATTGATTTGATAGTTTTATACACAATAAACATATTAATGGTACATATCAGTAAGGTCTTTTGAAGATGGTTYATTATTGTTTGTCAATTACTTTTAATTGGTTTATTATTGCCGATATTAATCGATATCGCTGAATATTTAATCAAGTATTTGGCATGGCCAGATATTTTAACGTTTATAAAAGTACCTATACTATCTAACTCCGGTATACGTACAAAGATTATTTTCTATGTATAAAAATATTTTAAGCCTAATCTCTCAAGGTTTATTGAAGACAGGTTATCTAAACACATAAAAGTGAATTTTTCTAATTTTACTAGGGAAAATATGTAATATACAGAATATTAATTTTTTTAGTTAATTTTGTAATTGCTTTTTTATCTATATAAATTAAATGATTTTTTGCCTTTTTGACATTTTAAATATTTTTGTTGTTGATTATATTACCTTTAAATCTGAATCCTAGTAATGATTATTGACATTCTTGTCACAAGATCTAGTACAAGAGATTCAAATCATTTTGTTTTATGTATTTTAAACATCTAACCTTTGTTAAGTATGTTGACTTAGTGAGTATATAACACGAACAGTATTACGTTAAAACAATAACATTGGTACTAATTTTAAAATGGCTCAATAGAATGTAATTACTATCATAATCACAATATGTTTCTCATTAAAAAAGAAGTCATCTAATGTTTGTGATAATAATTACAATATATAAAAACCTTTTTTAACATTTTTTTATTTTTTAAATTCTTATAATACTGTCATTTCTTAATGCTTTATGTGGGCTTTGTTTTTGTCTTATTACAACATGGTTAGGCCTCAGAGAGAAATGGAATACGAAGACAATCTCCGCATCGTGACTATAACATACCAGAAGAAAATGAAATTTTGAAGGGCAGTTCAGAAGAGGTATGTTAGTGTATTGCTTTAAATTTGGGTTTGTGCTATGAATAAAAATAAGGTTCCTTCTTTTGTTATAATTTTTTTCGCATCATTTAAATGCATGGTGCATTCATTATTAAATCTTTTATACAATGGGTATAAAAGCTATGTTATTGATTGCCTAACACTGCTTTAAAGAACCTCATTTTTAACTTTCATTATTTTTATTGTGTTTAGTGAATAATTATTAATATTGTTTGTTTTTGTATAAAGTTTAAGGTAATTTTAAAATACTTTTAAATCAAAATAAAAAACCTGTTTATACCAATTTTATAATTAAAAACTATATAATAGTTAATTTATGATTACTGAACACAGTGATATTAWATTCTGAGTTAAGTTTCTGGCTACTGATAGTGAAAAAATAAGATAAATTTACATAACTTGAATTTCATATTATAGCAGATGAAATTTTTTTTAACTTCAATGTTTTTAAACTTTCTATGATATTAAAATAAATTTTTGTAAAAAACAAT